TTCTTAATGTTATGAGATACTAGTTGTTGCATCTTTTTAAATATATTTTTCTGTTGGTTTGATGTGTATGATTAAACTATGTTTGTTCTTATCACGTGGAAGTCTTATTGACGATTGCCTTAATATTAAACTAATAGATGAATGCATCACTTTGACTTTTTTTGATGTTTTTGTAGAAACTTCTTTCCAGAAATCAAAGAGCTTGAATCAAGTCTAAAAAAAGTGCCTTCTTGTAAGTTGCATTTTCCATCAACATCTGCATTACATAATATGGAACTCACCGTTTCACCAGTTGAAGGAATTTATAAGGTATGTCCTTTCTAGTTTTGAATAATATGGTACTTAAGTAATGTCTGAAAATTCATTGTGTCTTCTGTAGTTTCAGTTGTGAGCTGTGGGGACGAGATGGATTTTTTACAAGGCGTGATTCGGATTATAAAGGAAAACTATTTGTCTATAAGCAAAAAAGTGACTTTACTGCTGATTATTAGACATTTTGATGGACTGTTTGACAGAATTGTTGGATTTTTAATTCATTTTTTTTTAATTGATAAAGTTTGCAGTTGTATATGCAGTTAAATGTACTTAATAATTAAGCACAATTTCAGGGTGGAATATTCAAATTTACTATAGCAGTACCACCTGAATACAACAATGTACCACCTGTGGTAAAATGTTTAACACGCGTGTGGCATCCAAACATAACTGAGGAAGGCTCTATATGCTTGTCATTATTGCGACAAAATAGTCTTGATGGTTATGGTATGTATCAAAATTCTTCTGACGTAAACATAGTATAAAACTTGATAACATGTAATTGATGAATAAAAGATTGTTATTCAATGATATACTATCGTTCAATCGATAGAAATTAAACATGACAATTTGTGCCAATTTTTTACTTTTGTGTTTGAGTGAATATTGTCCTCAGAATGGAGAGCTGCTGAATATGGTAGTGCATTTCTCTGAAGAGATTTTTTTTTTCTTGATTTTAGGATGGATGCCAACTCGTAGATTAATTGATGTTGTACTTGGTCTGGATAGTCTTTTCACTGATCTGATCGACTTTGATGATGCCCTCAATGCAACAGCCGCTCAGCAGTGGTCCACCAATAAGGTGACTTCATTTCTGTAACATTTTTCCAGAATTCCATCTCAAAAATTTAGTTAAATCTAAATACAATATTCTTGTTTCATTAAAAAAGACTATTTATGATGATGTGATATTGATATGAGTCGAAAATGAACTTTAAATTGCCAAAGGGAATTTTGAATCATTAGTATGATTTGCATGTTTTTAAAGCCTATAGTAATTAATTTTATCTTAAGCATAATGCTGCGGTCGATAGAGTCGAAACTTACTTTGCAGAATTCAGATCTTTTTTCCAAATATACTTTGTGTATAGTGATTGTCTGTTACTCTTTATTTTGTACTATTTTTATATCCTATGCTATAAATTCTGCTCCTAATAATGAGGTAAGAACCTGAAGAAACTTTCTTTTTCTGGCATAAAAATTTTTGTGCCAAACATTATATTTTGTAAGTTATTGATCTGAATAATGGCGTCATATTTCACTTCATTTGATACGAAGTTCCAATCACATGAAGCAATTTTCTTTCTGTACATCATCCAGTGTTCATCATTATTTGCACCGTAAAATTACATCGACTTTTTTCGCCTAAATTATTCTATTTCAGGAAGCATACATTGCGAAAGTACGCGATTACATCGTGCGTTTTTGTCGGTGAAAAAATAATGAAAAACGGATTTTATACAAATTTAAAAGAAAACGTGATAATAATTGTGTTTTAGCACTGTAATATGATAATCAATCAAAACGAAAACTTTTTTTACAATGAATTTGAAATTTGGTATCCTATGATATTGTGTGTCGTATCAACGTTATAACTCCATTTATGTTTGTGTACTTTAATATTTTGTAGTTGGTATCAAAATTTTCAGCATTTTGGATAATATTTAATGAATAATTGATTAAGTTAATAATGATTGACAGATGTTTGTAATACATTTATATTGGCTTGGTTTTACTTTTTTTGCCAAAACGAGGTTTCATGTGATAGAAGATTTAAGACGACTGCCGTGTGGTTTTCATTCAATATTCTTCAGGCGAAGGATATTATCATTGATGTCTTTCAGAATGCAAATTTCTTCTTTTTTTGCTTTAGGCTAATTTGAGTATCTAGTACAGAACATTTATTTGGACCGTAAACTTGATGTTTAAATAAAAGATCGCATTTTTACGGCAGCGTTGAATGCTTGACGCGCAACTGCTATCTGCAGAAAATTGTTGCGCTGATAACTGAATAATGCTACCGTCAATCGTGTGAATTTAGTTAAGCTTTCATAGTTTTTGTTGCGATTTTACAATTAAGATTTGTTAGTAAATTTAGTGCTATACAAATATGCATTAAAAACTGAATAAAATTTGTCTTTGTCATTGGAAGTTTGATTACAACTTTTTTTTTTTTTTGTTTTTTTACATGTGTGCACATCTGGGGAGAAGACTTTACATAATAATCTCAGTTAGTTTCATTCTTAGAAAATTCTGGTAAGTGCGAATCATCGCTTTGAACAGGAGGTATTAGGTATATTATTTAGTGCTGCTTATTTTGAGAATGTATCAGGTGGTTTTCTGGGATTCGGTTCAAAGTTCACATTATCATTATTTCATATTTTTAAAGTATGATTCTGAAGTTTATCCTTTCTTTATCTTAGTTTATTTAAGTTATCTGCTCCGATGGCATGCATAACTGTTAGTTTTGTATGTAAGGTAGACAAAAGACAAATAGTAAATGTAATGTTATAACTTTCATTAGTCATAATTTTTTTTTTTCGCTTAAGCACATTGAGATAATCGATATCTTAAATTTTCCGGAGTGGATATTTCCTTATTTGCTAGGAAGTAAAATATTTGTTGAAGTTTTTTTTCCTTTAAGTTGCTCCAAATGAATTAATGGGTCATCAAATAGTGGTGGCATTTCTGCTTATTCTTTTATCACTAAGAATCTATGGCAAATCGGAATGCATGCAAATTGTCGGTACTCTTGTTTGTCCTCAAAAATCTATGCTAGCAGGAAATGTGCAAATTGATTTGAAGGACGAAGATTGTAAGTTTTTCGATTGCAATGTATTTATTTTATATATTGAGATATTTAATTATTATAAATACTGTATTAAAAACAGAAGAAATAGGTTGCAGATCAATTACTAAGAAATTTTTGTAGGGAAATTACAATCAGTGATCAGGTGCAATTTGATAAGTTTGATGTCGTATTATTAACTGTAGTATAAAGCATTCAGAAATTGAAGTCCATATTTAATTTTTTGAAGTCTGAATAGCTAGTAATTATTTTAACAATTAGTTTGCTTTTCCTGTCCTTGTTTTGCAATATTTCTCACTTAGCATTCTTAAATCACTACATAATTTTATGAAGTCTCGAAAATTTGAATTATTGTTGAAATTACACTAATAATTCAATTAACCAATTAATTTTACTACAAATAATATTATAGCTATGTGCTTTTACAGCACTGCCATGGGAGAGCCACGATCAGATGGGTCGAACTTGGTCTCATTCTGATGGTTCATTTATGATTTCTGGATGTGGGGCTGATTTTGGTCCATTCAATGAACCAGATCCATATATTATTATTGAACATAAATGTCCCAGTGTTTTACGGTCAACAATAGGAAATATTGGTTCAACAAGAAAAACGCAATTTGCGTTAACTAAAGTATTTATGCCAAAAATCTTAAATATTGGTAAAATTTTTCTGGATGATTCGGATTTGTAGATGTTGAGATGTACTGCACGTAGCAACTATTGTTCTTTCCAATTTGCTAATTAAACCTTTTTTTGACTACACAAAAGATAATTAATACCAAAATTTTTGAATAAGAAAGTAAAAAAGTGTAGTGAAAAGAGAAATTTAGAAAGGTGTAAGGAAAAGAAAACAAGGGGTTTGTCTTTTATTTTATTTATTACAAAATACTTTGTGATATGCTACACTTTTCACTCATTGTCATAATTTGTTCTTATTTTTTCCTTATTTATTTCGAAATACATCTGGATTACAAATATTATGATGAGGTATATATACCTTTCTAGCTTGTTTATACATATTTTTTAATAATCGTTTTGTTAACTTATTTGTTGTATAACCATACTCATTGCCATAACTTTGTTACCACTTTCTCCATATTTATTTCGAAAATTTCTTTTGTAATATTAAATAAATATAGAATTCAAGTTCTTCTATTTGCATAACATTTGAAACAAGAACTCATGCAGAATTCATGAACAAGTTGTATTATCTTTATGTCCGCTTCTATTAATAATAAAAGAAAGAAGGAAGAATGCTAAGAATAATTTTTTTGATTGATTGAAATAGGAGTTTAAAAAGTTTGCGTATGCAGGAGACATGTTTTTTTTTTTCAGCTAAAAGTTTTGTACAAATGTATTATTAGTGTTTTTATCATAATCTGAACATATGCGTCTCTTTCTAGATCATCTAAAAATACATAGAACTGATTATTTGTCACAAATTTCAATGAATGGAAAAAAGACTTTATATTCCTACTTGTATTGTACAATTGTTTACATAAGTAAACATTATTTGCTAATCATTGAGTTTCCGGTTATGCTCTATTATTTAGTGTTTTCATAAATATATGGAAGAGTAAGAGAGGGAGAAAAACAGGTTATTTGAAAGAAATGGAAAAGATCAGAGAAAGATAAAAGTCTATTTATTTATTTATTATCTAGATTGGATTAGACCAGTAAATAAAGCTTGAATAGCTTATAACAAGCACATGAAATTGCTATACATATAAATATTACCTTTAGTTTCTTGTTATGTCTCTGTAATAATAGCCATCACTACAGTCATTATTATTATTATTAATATTATTACTATTGTTATTATCGTAATTATTATCATGAATTTCTGCTATTCACAGTAATTCTAAAATCTAAAATGTTCTCTCTATCCAGGTTTTCCATTCTTGTGGTTCCATTTTTAAGACTTCCATTATTATCACTCATTTCAATAATATTTGCAAATAAACATCAGTTTTTGAATTCGGTAGATTTTTTTAACGCAAATTTTGTTAATATTAATGAGCCACTTCGAATTTCGGTTAACGACCAACGTTTCTCGCTGAAGGTTTGCAAAAGTTTAAATTTATTAAAGTGAATCTTTGAGATTATCATATATTACTTGTACATTGTATATGTCAAAGATATTAACAAATAAGATAAGTAAAGATAACAAATTAGTAAATAGTTATGATAATTATAAATGCTAAATGAGTATCATATTATTTAGAGACAAAAGCGCGGTTCTGCTGTGATTTTTGAAAATGATAAATGGCCAAACGGACGTATTCCATATGTTATTTCTTCCACTTATAGTAAGCTTATTAGATTTTATCATTGTTAACTGATATAATATAATTATATGACTAAATTTTTGCAACTTCTTTCTAAATATGGTTATTTTGAAATGTTGAAATCTTTTTATTATTTAGAAGGATTAGAATTTCTAATCTTGATAGTAGAAAAAGTTTAATCTTTTTTTTTAAAAAAAATACCTATGAAATCCAAAATTATCAAATCACTAACAGTAAAGAAAAGAGAAGGAAATAAATGTAATAAATTAAATAATTTTTTTAACAGCTCTTTATCAACGTGCTATAATTGCTCGTGCAATAGCTGCTTATACTGCACGAACATGCATTCGTTTTACTCCTCGACAACTATATGATAGAGATTATATTATTATCTCAAAAACTGATGGGTATAAAATTTATACTTCTTTTCAGTATTTATTGCTAGAAATGATTTCTTCATTTCTTTGATCACCAATCAATAAATTAATTAGTATTTTGTTTAAATTTGGTATACATTCAAATAATGAAATTATAATCAGATAGTTATTGATAGATATTTTTCTTTTTACTTGATCCGTTAACTGGAAGAAATTTTACTCATTTGCTAATTTGTCTAATATTCTTAGATGTTTTGCTGATTTTGCACATGTTGGAGGAGGTCCACAACAAGTATCGCTTGCCGATGAATGCTTAAATTATGCAACTGTAATTCATGAATTAATGCATGTAATAGGTTTCATTCATGAGCATCAACGTAATGATCGCGATCATTTCGTTAATATTTTGTGGCAAAATATTATACCTGGTAAGTTTTTCTCATAAATAATGCAATATAATGGTTGGTGATGACCTTCCGATCGAAACTGACTTCTGGTCCTTCCAAATTTTTCACTTTTCTTTTCTTTTTTTTTGATTTTTTAATTTATTAACCAATATTAAATCTACTAGAATGTAAAAATCGTTATCACCATAGAAGACATTCTTTGTTTTACAGCGAACAGATCTATATTTCAACTGAACTCATCGAAATATTTTGCCCACAATAAGGAATGCATAAATTTGTCTTGAAACAGTTACATAGGATATATAGGTGTTAAAATTAGATCTATCTACGAGCTTGCAATTAAAGAAGTGTGATTTCAAAATACATACGGAAATACTCGAAAACAAAAAAATTAAGTGAAATTGTCTCTTTTCATTTTTGCAGGCGCTAACACCGATTTCGAAAAACTGACTTCAGTAAAACTATCGTATTATGGTGAACGCTATGATTATTTCTCTATCATGCACTACGAATCAACGGAAGGTAGTCGTAATGGAAAAAACACAGTAGAAGCGAGAATCCAAGCAATCACCCCACTGATGGGTAAAAGTTCTGACTTCTCATCAAGTGATATTAATAGAATTAATCGAGCTTATAAATGTTAGAATTGCTTTTTGTATGGCTAGAAGGATTGAGTTATTCGATGTCCTAATTCTAGCCAAAGATAAGTGGAAAGTCAGATAGGAACGGAAAGACATATATATAATTTTTACTATTTACAACGATCCAAAAGTTTATTCCTCATTTTCAAAATCTCCACCAACAAAAACCAAAAAAAAAGATATAGCGCTTCGTTTTACTCAGTTCTTTTTTCTCCTACTCGATTCAATTCAATATCTGATTCAAATAAAAACCGTAATTCGAAAGAAAGACATGTTAAAAAATAAAAAAAACGATATTGAAAATTGGTACAGAAAATTTGTTTAATCAGTATAATTTTATGATGCTTTCAATATCAAGCAGCGTAAATACAAAACCATTATTGTACGATGCAAACATAAATAAGTTATTCAGTTAGTTGTAGACTTCGAAAAATGAACACGTTCCACTTTTACTTGGTCGTCAACTAATCGATAAAGATATGTAATCAGCGTTCCCATTTGGACGTCCAGTAATGCAAATGACGGTATGACATCACTAAAAAATAAATTTTATTAAAATCTAAATGATTAAGCTAAAGACTAACCAATGTATATTTAAGCATATTAAAATTTATTGAAATATTACGGACACAACAAATTATTCAGTACTACCTTTGTATGGGTGAGAAAGCTCCAGTTGCAGAGCCAGGATTCACATAAAATCGTCCCTCATGTTGAAAGGTTTGACATTCATGCGTATGGCCAGTTATCAGAACATCTACATCCATTTGTCGTGCTAACATTTCTAACCTCTAAAAATAATATTTGCATCTAAATATGATCTGAACCTTTGACGTCCCAAGGAAAGAAATCCGTTACCTTCTTGTCGCCCCAGGGCACAATTTGATGACCGTGACATAAGCCAATTCGGAACTGTCCAACTGTAATAACTTTAGTATCTGGGTAATTCGTTAAAACATCGTCGAAATCACCACGAGCCTGAAATAACATTCCTCAAATGAGGAACCATGCCAATTTCACTCACGTATTGTAATTGATTAACAATCAGTGTAGCATCAATTTACTTGTGATCATCCAATTACCAAGTTATTTCGTTCTGGATTTTGTCCGCAGTTTTTTTTTTTTTTAATATCAATAACGAAGTAAACAGATTTCAAAAAACGTTAAAATAGTCCGAAACTTACTACATGCACATCAGACGCCAAAGATTTTAGGTAATCAAATGTTTCACGTGTGCATAAATTACCGGTACACAAAACATGTTGCATTTTGTTTGGTACCAGTAATTTACGAAATCTTGCTGGTATATTATGACTTCGATGTGGTATATGAAAATCACCAATAACAAGGACCAGCTGAAAAAAAAAAAAAAAGCAAATGAAATGGAATAGGTTAGTTGTGAAATGCAAGAAAATATTTGATAAAAGTTAACTGGAAGAAGTAAACGAACCATAACTTTGGATCGAAATCAAACTAATTCCAAATGATGGAACTCAATTCCTTATAGTCTCATCAATTTCTCGATGTCGCAGATTAACTATTCAGGAAAAAACAAAATATTAACATTGCAGTCCTAAAATTAATTTTCATAAAAACGAATTACACATATTATTCCCTCCGAACATTTCACAAAACAAAAATGACGAACAACTCAACAAGTGTTTACCATATCGTTTTACAGTCTCTAATCTATCGTATCCAAATCATCTGTTGCAGAACCAAACAAAAAAGTGCAACTTTATGTCATTAACATTTCAGGAATTCCTGATTATGCAGAGATATTCGTACAGCAAACTTCAACAGATTTTTTTTTTTTTTTTTTGCACATTCCTAATTATTATACGCTAGGGAATGATTATACTGACTTTTTACGACTTACTTTCATTTCCATAATTTATGGATAAAATATTTCAGTGAATAAATTTGGCAGTTCCGGTATTTCTTCCTAAATTATTTTTTTCTTGCATGTTTTCTTTTTATTTTTTGTTTCTATGTTTTTCATAGTATGACTCAATTGAAAGTATAATGTATTCACGTTGTTTATTATGTTCAAAAGAAAAAAAGTTGTGGACATCTCATTAGCTATTAAATCCATCTAATTCTATTAAATCTATCTAATTCTTTATACATTTCATCTTTATATTCATTTACATATTTTTATAAGAAAAAAATTTTGATTCCAAACAATTCATCAATTTGTCACAATAAGTTTGTCATTTTGTTTACGTATATTAAAAATATATGTTATTGCAGGGGGAATGCGAAACATTCAGAAAAATATTGTACGATAGAGAGAGAGAATAGGTGTAAAAGATGAATGATTTTGAGGAGTGGCAGGATGTTAGAGTGTTGTTGAGAAATATTGCTGTAAATACTGATGGCGAGAGATGGAAAACAATTGGTCATCTAATGGTCAAAGATTAAGCGATAGCATTAATGTTATTTAGATTGATTAGAGGTGTTATTGCTTCTTGAATGTGTTATAAGTAAAGTAGAGGGTAGGTTTTTCAGGTTAAGTTCCCTTTGATTGGAGAGAGAGAGGGGGGGGGGGGCGAGGGAGAAATAGAAAGAGAGAACAAGAGAAAAGGGAGAAGGATAATCTGTTAATTATGGATTACCGTAATTGCTATTTCAGGATACGTTTCCGATTTTCCTACTTTTAGTTAAAATATAAATCTCCTAGTATAAATCCCCCTTGTAATCTTTCATTTCTATAATAATTAGCTAAATATTACTAGTATTACGTGTAGTTTACACGTTTCTGGTTAACGTGCTATCACGAGTGCAAACGTCGTATATTTATATGGTTACGTTATTCCTTGATTGTATCATAGCAACACTACCAGTTGGCTGTTGTTAGACAATGACGTCAAGGAATATTTGTAGTGATACGTTGTCATCACGTGCACAACGCGCAACGCACTTCACAGCAGCGAGTAGGGCAGTTGTGTGAAGGAGAAGTGCAGTGAGAATGCATTGTTTGTTGAAGGAACTGCACGTGGTCCGTTTGATAGGAGAAAGAGAGGTGGAGATGGATGGCTTAGTTGAGGGCGGAGAGAGAAGTACGTGTCGGGCGGGTTTGTCTTTTGATTACACCGTAGCGCGTGACGTTGAAGAGTAAGCAAGGTTGTAGTTATTGCGGAAGGTGGAGTTATTGTCAGTGGACAGGACCCCCGCGGTACCACGGTGTCAGAAGAGGAAGCACTAGGTTGACTATCTTTTCTGTATAGCAGCGAGATGTAATGCATTGTGGTACTACTCCCAGTGTCCCATCCGTGTCACCCTCTCCTCTGTTCCGGTCGTCCCCTCACTAGTTCGACGACTAGGCGATCAATACATCACTGAGTATCAACCAATTTTCCGTCCTGAGTGTCAGCCAAAGTTCGTTCTTCTTCTTCATCGCGAACTATGGCTCGCCGTATCCGTGGCTGTTTTCGGTTTTTATGGTTCTTCCGTCCGGTTATGCTGTTTCCTGTTACTGTTGCTAGTTTTTCCCGAATCCCACAAGCAATTTTCATATCTTTTCCACCAAAATTTGTCGAAAATGCACAATTGTATAATTTCTGCACTGCATCACTGAGAAATGCATAATTTGTTCACAAGAATTATTGTTAAATTTTTTCTAAGTTTTATGAATTTTATCTCAAATTTTGATTTATAATTATAGTCTAAGTATTTGCCTATCGTATATTTGTTACTAGGCCCTACTCTCACTAAAATCTTACTTTTGTATAAAGATATATCTAACTTTATGTCCCAGAAAATATCCCCTGAAGGTCTTCAGAGGAGATAGTCATAGAATCAGTGAGAAAGCGGCAGTATTGTGAGTAGGTAGAGAGAATTAGACGATGATACAGTGGTGGAAGTGCCTTCTCGAGGATGAAAAGTACGTGAGAGAATGTGTTTAATGCATATATTGTGAGAGTGTCCTCTTAGTTATAGATTTGAGGTTGCAAGAAGATAAAAAAATATTTCTTATTTAATTTTTAATTTTAAAGAGTGAGCGGGAAACTATCTACACTTTCACCATTTCCATTCTATCATTTGAAATGGAAGTGAATTAAGAGAGCGAGTTTTGTGGATGAAATACTAAGGAAAGACAAGTGTTGAAGTGATGGGTAGAAAATAGAAAGTGTGCTTTATTCCATTTTTAATTTATAGAAAGACAGGTGAGGCTATGAGTCCTAAATCTATCTGCATGATGAGATTGCTAAAGAATTGACTGTCGATAGTTTAAATGATGTAAAGATAATTATATTAGAATTTATTTGACTTTTGTAAATCTACACAGTATCTATTGAATTGAAAATCTTGCTTATTGTTCAAATATATGTCTTTGCGAAGAAAATTTTGTTACATGTACACATAGGATAATTTGATGAGGTAATCTTAATTGAATATGGTATGACTTTAATGGATGAAAAATCGATATGTTGAAGTCATATTGCGTACCGATTGAAAATATTTAGGATATTGTGTTCTTGTGCTTAAGATTTTATTTTATTCCTTCAATATGCAGTAATATTTTAAAGGATTCTCCTCGATAGTCTACCAAAATAACCTTTTCTTGAAATTCTGAGTAAAGTAATACATTTCTTCTCGTTATGGTATATTATCCTTAGTTTGTACGAAATTCATTTTTCAGCTACCAGTTGCATCTTTCGATTTCTTTGTGAATTTTGCTAATTACCGTCTACGATGGCCCGTACCAAGCAAACTGCTCGTAAATCTACTGGAGGTTAGCTACTTTATTCGATGGAATTTCTTTCCACGAATATTTAAGGTCCCTGAATTATTCAGAAAGATTTAAAAATAAATATTTGTGTTAAGAATTAGTTAATTCGTGAAATTAATTAATAAAACTTCGTCTAAAATCAAGTTGAACCTTTGTAGGTAAAGCTCCGCGTAAACAGCTGGCTACCAAAGCAGCACGTAAATCAGCTCCGTCCACTGGAGGCGTTAAGAAGCCTCATCGTTACCGTCCAGGTACTGTTGCGCTTCGT